CTCGGCTATATTCATGGCGAGAACGAGGTTAGTTAAGTTAAATTAAGTTTTACAATTTGATCTTAGATAAAAATTCTAAAACAAAATCTGGCCTTACTTCATTAAAAATCTTTCCAGAAAAGTCAACAGAAAAATGAGTTCTGACAGACTTTAAACTATTACAATCCATAAAAATATGCTTCAAAGATAATGGATTCTGGCATAAAGAACATAAAGGAGGATCTTCACCCACCAACAGAAAACTATGGGTTAGTCTGGAATGTCCTATTCGACAGCGAGTGTAGACAATATGATCCCATCGATTTTCAAAGTGGGCACAACGTTTTACAGCAACTACAGGATCGATTTTGTATAGTTTATTTGTTGTACATTTATCCCATTCAGCTTGCCATTTCTTATAAATATAAGTGTTTATAACAGGTCTGAGGTCTGAAGGTGGAATTGGGCATTTCTTAAGTTCTGAAGATAGAGCTTTTAAGGCTTAAGTTATTAAGGCTCTAGATCAGCATGATTCTGAATTATGACTCTGAATAATAGCAGTTCTAGATCACCATGATTCTGGATTATTATGATTCTCAATCACCATGTTTTGAGACATCATGATTCTAGATCAGCATAATTACGGCTCTAAATAATAATAGTTCTAGAAAATCATGGTTTTGGATTGTTATGATTCTCAATCACTAAATTAACTAAATTATAGATTAATTAATTAATCTAAATTAACATAACTCTGAATTATTATGACTCTTAATAATAACAGTTGTAGATTTTCGTGGCTCTGGATTATTATGACCGTCATTGTGGATTATTATGATTCTCGATCACCATGTTTTTGAGTCCTTAAGGTTCTAGATCGGCACAATTATTATGGCTCTGAATAAGAACAACAGTTCTAGATCACCATGATTCTGGATTATTATGGTTCTCGATTACCATATCTTAAATACATTTAGGTTCTAGATGAGAATATCCTGAATTATTATGATTCTCAATCGCCATGTTTTTGAGTTATTAAGATTCTAAATCAGCACGATTCTTGATTATTATGACTCTGCATAAGAACCATTCTAGATCATCATGATTCTGGATAATTATGGTTCGCGATTACCATGTTTTGAGTCATTAAGGTTCTACATTAGCAAAATAATTATGGTTCTGAATAATAATAATTCTACATCACGGTTCTGTACTACTATGATACTCAATCACCATGTTTTTGAGCTATTAAGATTCTAAATCAGCATGATTCTGGATTATTATGACTCTGATTAATAACCGTACTAAATCACCATGACTCTTGATTATTATTATTCTCCAACATGTTTTGAGTTATTATTATTCAGCTATGAACAATAATAACATTTGTAGTTCATCGTGGTTCTAGACCAGCATGTTTCTGTATAATATAAATAATAACAGTTATAGATAATCATTATTCTGGATTGTTTTGATTCTTGATCACCATATTTTTGAGTCATTATGGTTCTAAATTAGCATAATTCTGAATGATTATGACTCAGAATAATAACAGTTGTAGATCATCACAGTTCTGGGTTATTATGGCTGGTTCTGGATTGTTATGATTCTCGATCACCCTGTTTTGAGTCACTATGGTTCCAGATTAGCTCTGAATAATAATAATAACAGTTGTGGATAATCGTGGTTCTAGACCAGCATGTTTCTGTATACTCTGAATAATAACGGTTCTAGATAATAATTGCTCTGGATTGTTGTGATTCTCGATCACCGTATTTTGAGCCACTATGGGTCCAGATCAGCTCTGAATAATAATAATAATAACAGTTGTAGATAATCATGGTTCTAGACCAGCAAGTTTCTGTATAATCTGACTAATAAGGGTTCTAGATAATAATTGTTCTGGATTGTTATGATTCTCGTTCAGCATGTTTTGAGTCATTATGGTTCTAGATCAGCTCTGAATAATAATAATAACAGTTGCAGATCATCGTGGTTCTAGACCAGCAAGTTTCTGTATAATCTGAATAATAACGGTTCTAGATAATAATTGTTCTGGATTGTTGTGATTCTCGATCACCGTATTTTGAGCCACTATGGTTCTAGATCAGCTCTGAATAATAATAATAATAATAACAGTTGCAGATCATCGTGGTTCTAGACCAGCAAGTTTCTGTATAATCTGAATAATAACGGTTCTAGATAATAATTGTTCTGGATTGTTGTGATTCTCGATCACCGTATTTTGAGCCACTATGGGTCCAGATCAGCTCTGAATAATAATAATAATAACAGTTGTAGATAATCATGGTTCTAGACCAGCAAGTTTCTGTATAATCTGACTAATAAGGGTTCTAGATAATAATTGTTCTGGATTGTTGTGATTCTCGATCACCGTATTTTGAGCCACTATGGTTCTAGATCAGCTCTGAATAATGTCAGATCGCTCTCACCGTGCAGGTCTTTCTGCGCGATGTTCTGCGTCCGGATGAGCGATGACAGCCTCCGCACGTCTCCCCGGAACACGCACTCATGCACGGGATACGCGCCGTCAGTGTCGCCGTGGTTCTGGTTCTGCTGCGAGCTGGAGCGGAGGATCTTGTGGTTGCCGCCGCTGAGGATCTTGCTGCCCCGGTTGGCTTTGGTCGGCCCGGTGGCCGCCGGCTCCTCGTCCGGCTCCAGCAGATCCAAACCCGCCTTGCGCTCTTTGCGCACCGAGCGGATCTTCTCTCCCGTCATATTTACACAGATGAACGGTGGAAAACAGCAGCCCGCACAACATGAACACTGTCCGGTGACTCAACAGAGACGGACGGGAATGAAACACGCACCGGAGCGACGCATCGAACGGTAAACAAACGACACACACTCACACACACCCTATGAGGAAGAGCCATCTGCCATCTTCCGCTCGCACTCTCGCGAGAACCACGGGCGGGTTTAATGAACACAGCGCGGAGTCTCGCGAGAACGAGGGGTCTCACCCTCATGCATCGAAACGATCCTCTCTACTCTCGCGAGAATGGCGTGCGGGGAGACTAGAGAGATTGGTAAGTCTCGCGAGAGTAAGTAAACGAGCCTGGCAAACCTTCATTTGTTTGGCATACACAAACGTACTGAGATTTTTGGCTCTAATAATTTTTTTTTCGTCATTTCATAAATGTAAACAAGCACTTAAACGTTTACAGTATCATTCCTGACATCAACTTCATTTCAGAAGTACTTCTGGTAAAATCTGTGTGATTTGAAAACAGAACTCTTATTAGTTCAGAAACTGAAGAAATTCACATTAATCTAAATTAGAGGCTTCCACATTTTCCTTGTTGTCGTATGGTCTTTATCATGCAAATTAAACCTTTATTATCACAAAACGATTTGAAAGATGTATGGAAGAGGATTCATTTCTGTAGAATATTTTCTTATATATTTTGAATATTGTGTGTTATTGTGAACATTGTGCCGTTTTTACTTTGTATTGGTCTTGATATCTATATAATCATATATAAGTTCATTGTAAAGGTAGAAAAATCCTAAATAAAATAGGCCTATTTCAAAAAGAAATTCACGTGATATAGTATTATTATTATTTATTATTATTATTATTATAGATATTGCTAAATAAAATTAATGTTTAAGATTTATTTTTTTTACATTGTTGCCTTTATTTAGATATGATTGTTTTATTTGTTATTATATTATTGATTATTAGTATAAATATTGCAAAATAAAATCACTATATTGAAGACTTATTTTTTTTGTGGCATTTTTGCCTTTTTATAGAATTTATAATTATATTATTTATCATATTGTGAAAAAAAAATCAATATAGGGAAGATTTATTTTTGACATTTTTGCCTTTATTTAGAGAGGACTTTTATTTATTATTATATTATTTGTTATTATTATATATTGTGAAATAAAATCAGTATATTGAAGATTTATTTTTGGCATATTTGCCATTCTTTAGGATTTTTTTATTATTATATTATTTATTATTAGTATAACTATTATGTATATATATTATAGTATATGTATATTTTGTCTGTATAATGGAAGTCAATGGGGACCAGCAGCTGTTTGGTTCCCAACATTCTGCAAAATAACTTCCTTTGTGTTCAACACAAGAAAGAAACTCGTACAGGTTTGGAGCAACATGTGTGAGTAAATGATGACAGAAGTTTCTGTTTTGGGTGAACCATGCCTTTAAAGTCTCTATATGAAGGATGATTCACACAAATGAAGACGATTTAAAACAGCGGATGACTTTTTCTCCATCAGAATGAGCAGAATTGTGCTGTGGGATGATGGAGAGTCAACACAGAAGACCCGTTCATGCGAGTAAACAAGCATAGAGTTTATTTAGAAATGTGTGTGAATGAGCAGCTTTGTGGAAACAACACAGAAGTACAATGTCCTTCATGGCAAAACTTTGTATTTCTGTCTTGATTTCCAGTGCAAATGTCTAAAGATTCTTAAATCGAGATTTACAATGAATTAAGATATAAAGTCTTGTTTTCTGAAAAATGCATCATTAAAAAAATGTATTAATTTTGCATCTCAAGTAAAAGTATCTTGATTTATGAATGTTTAGGTGTTTGTATTATACAGGATTTTTATAAAACTGCATGTGTCCGTGGCAAACAGACTAAAATAATGAATCAGGATGCACCGGACAAGTCAAAAACCCACTGCTTTGTGTACCTGTGAATATATTAGGATCGACTTTTGACCTATTAAACAGTCACGACAAAAGATGAATATTGGCTGGCGGACTTCAGGTTTTATTTTAATCTGAGGGTTAAAGAAGCTTCTTAGAAAATTTTAAGCCTGCAACCAGTGATCAAATGTAGCAGGTCTGTAATTGATAAACAGATTTTTGTGACTGTGCGTTTAATTATGTGTGTGTTTGCTTCAGATGGCCTCGAGTGAAGCAGATGATTCTCAGTGTAATGAAGAGCCTCGAGATTCACACCTGGCGGTCAGCGCTACACACTTGTGCATTTCACCTGCATATAAACCTGCCATCCATCTGGGCTGCAGAGTTTTAACACAAGCAAACTAATAAACAAGAGTTTGTGTGTGTGTGTGTGT